GGAGGAAGAGTGAAAACTAGAGAGAAATAAAATGAACTCACTTAGGATGTGTTTAGGGATAGAGAGTGCATGTCTGGAAGAAACAGAGATGTAGGAAGCTGGAGCCTTGTAGCAAGTCAAGTTGAAGATGATGAAACACACATGTGAAAACACAGAACAGAACACCTATGGTTCAGTGGAGTGTGTGGGGACAGCCAAAGCCATTCTAATATAGGAGACAAATTAGGAACATGAGCTTTTTTGAAGTGAATCCTCTACTTTAATACGAAATCCAGAGTTGGTCCCCATTCTAATAACTATTGTCAATAGGAAAAAAAATCAGCCTTAGGAATTCTTACATCTGTTGATTTATGCTTAGGAACCATGATAAGAATTTATGAGATGTAAACAATAAATCCCAGGCTGAATGTGAAATGTGTCATTCAGAAGATCTCTGAAATCATCAGTTGCAAAGGTGTACCAGGGCTTTCTTGACAAAATAGGCTCATTTCCTACAAATTTTGACAGAAAAAAAACCTCTTGGAAATAGTTACATATGCCCACTTTAGCTGCATACTGTAAAGTGATACTATTTTCTCTTTTATATGAATAACACAACTTACCAGCACCCCTCTGTGTGTGTGATACTAGTAAATGTTTTACATACATTTCCTTTGATACTCCTAGGAAGCCTACTAAGTAAACAATGTCATCTTCGTCAAGAAGATGAAGCAGAGACTGACATACTAAGCAGTTTGCCCAAGACATCAAAGCAGGAATGGAAGGACATTAGGTCCCAAAGTCTGGTCTCTCTGAATCTATTATTTTCAATACTATGTCTTTCCAGTTTCATCTTGATACTGAAACAAATTCCCTGAACTTTATGGTCTTAAACAAAAGAAATGTGTCTCTTATAGTTAATTCTAGATTTTCAAGTCTAGATCGCTATGTTGCTCTGTAGGCCAAAGAGGAAAATGAGTTTCCTTACTCTTTCCAGCTTCCAGATGCTGCCTACATCTCATGGCTCATGGCTATTTGCTGTACTTCAAAGCCAGCAGCTTTGCATTTTCAAATATCCTTCCATCTCTTGCAAACCTCTTACCAAAGGACTACTGTAAATACATTTAGTGTTTATCCAGAAAATCCAGGGTAATTGGCAGATCTTAAAAGGTTTAGTAATACATACAAAGCCACTTTATCATAAAATGCCATGTTCACATTCTCTAGGGATTAGAACATGGGTATCTTTGGGAAGTAGTTACTTAGTGTATTACTTTTCTAGCCACTAGGACAAAATAACTAATGTAAATACTTTAAAGGAGAATAAACTTATTATGTTTTCAGAGTGTTCAGTCCATGCTGGTTGTGAAGGCATGGCAAATGGAGCCCCTCCATCTGCAGCAGTGAGAGACTATAGCAGGTGGCTTCTTGCTTGGTAGCAGAACAGGAAACAGAGAGCACTGGCCTGACCCCAAAGTGGATATATCATTGAAAGTCATGCTCTTACTGTCTCACACTTCCAGATTGGTCCCATGCCCCAAAGATTCTACCACCTTCCAAAACAGCCCCAACCACTGCAATCCAAGAGTGACAGTGATGGACATTTACATCCAAACCATAGATAGCAGTTCAGCCACATGAGGGAGTCGATTGCCTTTAGCATCCAGCCTAGTAGCAAGTAACTGACATTCAGCAAACAGCATACATTATCAGTACTGAAGATGATTAGCAGTGGTTTAAAATATACATTGTATTTAAATGTTTGATAGTAATAGAACAAAGGTTGGAAGTAGATGGAGTCAGCATTTCTGTGATTCTTGTTGGGGAAATTATATTGTTAGTAGATGTTTAT